CGCGCCGCTGGTGCCCGGGCCGGGGGCAGGAGGTGCCCGCACCGCCCGCCGCAGGCGGGGCATCCCGGGGCCCTGCAAACCGCTATGGACGGTGGCCTGCCTTTTAGGCGAAAATAATCCATCTTCAGATATTAAATGGCAAAAAGCTCCAGCCTCATTTCAGCTGGGAACTGCTGTGCAAAGGAGAGAGCGGTGTCGGTGGAAAACTGCCTTGGACCACCTAATCATTAACAACAATATGCAGTAAGAGAATATATCCGCTCTGCTGGAGAAAGGATGGTGACATTGAATTCAACTTTACTCCAACTTTGCTGCCCAGCAGTGAGTTCAGTTATCGAAGATGAAGGGTTCATTGCTGCTATTAGTATTTTTATTATAACCATTTCCTTTGATTAGGTTTCCTTTGAGATCTCTCTGGCCTACTTAGGCTAAAAGCCTTACTTCATTTAACAAGCAATTTATAAGGCATACTTAGGCCTATTAAAAGGTTTACAAAACTTTGTTCCAGATTATCTTCCCCTTCTCTGGCTTTCTACATGTATACTTAATACTTACTTACTTTTTGATTGGCCTTTTGGTCACATCTAGCCATGTTTTGGACTCTTACACGCTGCTGAAATGTCTACAGGTATCCCCCTGTCGTGGTTTAACCCCAGCCAGCACACAGCCGCTCGCTCACTCCCCCCCAGTGGGATTGGGGAGAGAATCGGAAGGGTAAAAGTGAGAAAACTCATGGGTAGAAATAAAGACAGTTTAATAGGTAAAGCAAAAGCCACACACACAAGCAAAGCAAAACAAGGCATTCATTCAGTCCTTCCCATCGGCAGGCAGGTGTTCAGCCATCTCCAGGAAAGCAGGGCTCCATCACGCGTAACCATTACTTGGGAAGACAAACGCCATCACTCCAAATGTCCCACCCTTCCTTCTTCTTCCCCCAGCTTTTATTGCTGAGCATGACGTCACATGGTGTGGAATATCCCTTTGGTCGGTTGGGGTCAGCTGTCCCGGCTGTGTCCCCTCCCAACTTCTTGCACACCCCCAGCCTCCTCGCTGGTGGGGCGGTGTGAGAAGCAGAAAAGGCCTTGACCCTGTGTAAGCACTGCTCAGCAGTAACAAAAACACCCCTGTATTATCAACACTGTTTCCAGCACAAATCCAAAACATAGCCCCATACTAGCCACTATGAAGAAAATGAACTCTATCCCAGTCAAAACCAGCACACCCTTTCAGTTTTACAAATGTAAAAAAAATCTAACTAAATACATACAAGTAAAGAGTGGGAGGAGTGTGAATAATCATGCCAAAAAAAAGAAATTAAAGCAGGAACTCAAGGGACTGAACAGGAATGATAAGCTTGCACGGGCAAAGTGTTGCAGTGAAGGATAAAAATTGGGAAACAGGTGGGTGTAGTGGTCAAGAATATATAGAGGTGGACATGTAGAATGGCAGGGAGGAGGAAGGTGTGAGGAAGTATGGACCTGCCCTGCATCAAGAAGAAAAAGCAAGCTGGAAATATAACATGAAACAAAGAGGACAGAATGTGGAGAGGGCAGTAACAGCAAGTTGTGCTAAACCTTTTGTTTCTGTACAGAGCTGGACAGAGCCTCCATGGGAAAAATGGCATGCAAATGTGTAACCCAACTACGGGTGGCAGGACAAACACAAAGAGATATCACAGCAAGGTCATACAATGCTTTTAAACACCACTTCCTAATTTCTGAGCACTTAGTTTTGCCATCTCAGTGTTCTTACAACTTAGGGTTTTGCCTCTAAAACATAAAGAGTGAGAAAATACAGATACCTCTTATACCCTTCAGCTGAACAACTCATGGCTTTTAGCTAGCTTTTCTACAAAATTCAGATTGCAATTTCGGCTTCATATTTGACCAAAGTTAGTTTTACTAGCTGTTTCAGTGATTTCCCTCAAGACTGAGTTACAAAAATATCTGTAAATTTAAGGTTTCTATTAAAAATTCCATGAGTGAGACTGAATTTGTAACACTAATGAGAGCTCCTGTCTCTGACAGTGAAGATGTGATATTATCAGGGCTTCACACAGAGGAGCCAACATACCAAATACTTGACCCTTCACCAGAGCAATTAAGACCTATTGCAAGACAAGGCTTGTAGGTAAAGCTTTTGTTTTGTTTAATTACATGTGGAAAAGAGCTCCAGTGCCTGAAAGCTCTGTCTAAATAAAATATGCCTGTTTGTAAACTTTGCCTTGTTTGCGTCCTTGGACTATGATGATTACTGCTACAACAAAGACTTGAAATTGTGGCAATATCTCTTAGATGTTCCGTTTTGGTGTATTCCTGTGACAAACAGACTTTTCCCAGGTAGCTGGAATTTGCCCTCCTTCAGCAGAAGCTTTACATCTGTGTAAAACCTGTATCATAACTTTAACAGGTCTTCTGTGGCAAGCGTTCAAGGCTTGCGTAGGCAACTATCTTTGACTGTAAAATCACACACACGTACATTTTAGATACATATACGTATATGTATATAAAAGGTGACAGGAACAAATCCTTTCTGGAGTTTAAAGAATTCACCTCTATCTGCTTAAGCTGTTTTTTCTTTACCTGTCTTCACACATGAAGACTTGTAGTATGTCCTCCCAACTCCCATCCACTAGCCAGTTGCACCAAAAATCCCATGAGCTCATTTGCAAAATGGGCAGAACGACTTTGGGTATGCAGCATAAGTGAGCGCTTGGCCCAGAAATGAAGTCTGGGGTCACAGACTGATGTTGCAGGCAGACTTCATTTTTTTTCCCAGACATTTTGTAAACATTATCTGTGACTCAAAAGGTATTTTTCCAGTCAAAGACATGTGAAAAGCATTTACACAGAAATTGGGTTCTTACTCGCAACTCAAAAATCACCTTTCCGATACACTGTATATAATAAGAAAATACGTATTAATACAAAGTTCATACTATTATATTACGGGATGTTTCTAAGGCATTAAATATATCTGTAAGTTAAAAATAGTCCTTTGGTTAAGTAAACTGAGAATGGGGCACATGTTACAAGGATTCCAGCCTCATAATACACTGCCTATGAGTGAAATCCTGAAGCTACTGAAAGAAATCTGTTGTGTATTTCTGTAGTACTCAGTGCAAGGTAATCCTAACAATCATCCTGGCTAAAGTGTAGATGTGGCACTTAGGGACATGGTTTAGTGGTGGACTTGGCAGTGTCAGGATTACGGTTGGACTCGATGATCTTAAAAGTAATTTCCAAACTAAATTATTCTATGGCTCTATGTTCAGACAGGTCAGGGAGTAGGAGGTGTGAAAGTCAGTAGTACATGCATAGCAAAGCTTCTGAAGCAAATGGGAAAAGAAAGCTCGACACTGAAGTCTTTTCCTTAAGAAGCATGAGTCTGTGCTCCTTTTTTTACAGGACACTATAAAAAAATCATAAAAGGTTTTTGAGTTTCAACCCTACAGTGGTAGTTGCATGTTCTTTCTGTGAATGATCCGGATAAATAGAAGGACCTTGTCTTTCACGCACACACAATTAAGCTAGCATTAGCACACAAATTTCAATAGGATCGAGATTAAGAGTTTAACTTTCATAGATGCTGAACACTTAATTTCAGTCAGTGAGGATAGCAGGTAGTCAGCATCTCTATAAATTAAGTTCTAGTTAACTTGCTTAAACTTGTGCAGAGAAAGCCATCATGCAATGTTTAATTTTCAGATCTTTGATTTTTTACTAAGAATTCACATATTTCAAAAGTGTAAGTGCAGAAGTGTGACTCAGAAAATCAAGACAATAACTGGGAGAGCTGTTTTACAGGGTGCCAGATGGCTTGTTCTTTTCTCTTGCCTTTCTCCTCAAAGAAGCATCCACAGCTAAAACAAAATAACCTTACTCTACAAAAAAAATTAAGTTCAAGTATTTCTTCTTCAAGCTTATCACATACTCCAGGGTGGGTAGGCATTTAGGAAGAATTACGTTACCATTTATTAACTAAAGAGACATGAAATTGCATGTCACATGGAAAAAAATATTATTTCTCACGCTGGTATTTATTATGTACAGGTGAAAAAAACCAGTCCTGT